AAATCATGTTTCAAGGCATAAGTTTTAAACTCAGGAAAGACATTCTAATCAGCAAGTTGTGCAAATTGTTAGAAGGAAGAGAGTTTTGGACTATAATATAATATGACTGTAAAATTATTTGGTATCTCTAAATTAAAAATTCAACTCTAAACAAATATTAATAATTTTACTTGATATGCGAAGTTTGCTGTCTATGAAAGGAATCTGAATAACTAAGGCATATAACGAAAATAAAATTATTAAAATCAGCATGATACTGCTTGATATGGTTAAGATAGAATATCAAATTTGTTTCTAATTAACTACTGTACTGATGAAATATAAAGAAGGGACAAAAATCTGTCTTCCAATATTTCAAAATGTCACAGCATTTTAATCTTAAAAGATAATAGCAATTTCATTGAACATGTGTCTTAAGTTCCTCGTAAATTCTTATCTACATGACATTATTTGTAGAATTTCGTGTTAATGTTCAAAAGTAATGCGGCATTATTAGATAGGGATTGGTGGCTTTATACTTCCTCCCCAAAAGAGCTGATTGATATTTTTGGCTGACTGTACGTGAGTGTTTTGGGATGTTGGTTCCTCCCTCCCAGAGGTGGGGAGGGGAAGTGCCTAGGATGTGTTTGTAGGGGGGAAGCCTGTGTGCAGAAGTGTTGAACTGGCACAGTCCTTCCTCCCTCCTCTGTCCACAACCACACATGTGGTGGTACTTCTGGACAGTTCAGAAGCCATTTTAGAACTCAGGAAGCAAAATATGTGCTTTTGCAGGTGCTGTGGTGGGAAGGATAACCTTTGCTCACTTGCCCAGTGTGGTACACCGTGTTATTTAATGTTTCTGACGGGTAAAATTCCAAGACCACATCCGACACCTGAAGCTTGCACAAAGTTTCTAAAGCAGATGGAAAACATTTCACCGAAACCTTGATTTGCCTAGTCAATATCCAGATCTGAGAAGTCTTTATTCTTTTGAGGCACCTCTGAAATCCACACTCAATATTCCGATCTATTCTAGCCTGAAAAACAAGAAGAACCTTTCTAGGTGTTTTGCGCACCCCAGCCCTACCCAAAGCCCCGGCGGGCCTACGATTTTAGGTGTCTCAAGCTGAGGGTCCCTTCGAATGAACCTGTATTTTCAGTTCTGGACGTCTAACAATTTATTGGAAAGGAGGGAAGCAATACTGCGAACAGTCTCAAGGGCTGAAAAGCCAGAGGCATTTGCTCCACGCAGTTGGACGTGAAGCTCGGGCCGGCTGTCCTCAGCTGTCGTGGGGGAGGGGCGGCGTATTGGCATTGACATTGGACCCGGCGTTGCCCTCGCCGTCCCGCCGCGTCCTGCTAAGAGCTAAGCATCTGCAGTCCCTCCAGCCCCAGCCTTCAGGCACAGGTCACCATCCTGGAGGACCGCCGCCCCCTCCTCCAGTGCTGCTGCCTGAGGGTTGAGGCCGAGCGTCGAGGAAGCGGCCGCCCGTGCAGCCGGCAGCCCCTGGGACGCCTGGCCGTGGCCGGGAGGAGCCCGGCCCGCTCGCTGTCCGCCCCCGGCTCCCCTTGCCGCCTGCGCGGTGCACCCGCTCGCCCCAGCCACCGCGCACACACTCACTCCGAGGGCGCTCCAGAGTTCCTGGTGGTGGGGGCTGGGGCGCGCGTTGGCCGCTGGCCTGCTCTGCTGCTTTCTATCGCAGCAGTCCTGCCACCGCTCCAGGGAGACCAGGATCCAAGCCCCAGAGCAGAAGACGCTCCAAAGTCCTGGGAGGCAGTCAGGCGTCCGGGAGGGGGGGCGGCCTGAGCTGGATCCGGGTGACCGGCGAGCCGGGTCAGGCGAGGTCGCGGCAGGAGGGGGCTGTGACTTTAGGGCCCGGCCGGGGCGGGGGGGCTGCGGCCAGGGCCCAGGGGCTGCTCCCGGGGCTTCAGGCAGCATCGACGCGCCCCAGGCGCCCGGGCCCGCTGGGGGGCAGAGACAAGCGGGCGGCCAAACCTGCCGAGGAAACCAACTAAAGAAAAGGAGACTGTTATTTAAGGCGCGGAAATTTAAAATATTTGGACAGGAAGAGAAAAGAAAAGAACCCATAGCAAGGAAGAAGGGGGGGGGGAGAAAGAGAGAGAAAAAAAAAAACCAACACAGGCCAGCTAACGGTTTTGCAACTCCCCACCCCCACTTCGGGCTTTTCTGCGCGCCCTGAGGGAGCTCTGGGCTCCTGCTGCCTTGCCTGGGAGCTCGGGACCTTAGCTGGAATCTAGAGAAAAAGTTTCAAAGGGATAGAAGGAAAAGTCTTCGCAGCCCCAGCACAGACAACCCAGAGGCTTGCGTTGGCTATCTGCAGAGTTTAACCTCCGTATGGAGTGGGGTGGGGTGGGGGGAAAGCTTGTCTCTTCTTCTCTACCTGAGTCTTATTTTCATGGAACTGCCCTAAGAAAACAGTCCCGGGAGTCCCAAACAGGGACTTTCCCCGCAGTGTTTTCATCAAGGTTCCTTAGGACACTCAGAAAAGTTGCAAATACTTGCCTTTCTTGATCCAGCACTTCAGCGTCCAGCTCTAACGGGCCATTATCTCTATTGCCAGTGAAAGCCTTAAGCAACCTTTCTGTGTCTGAGATTTCGAAACAAACTAAAGGCTATGGATTCCACAATGATCGTTAATTAACACGAGAGAAGTCTATCAATTGTTTTCCCACGACTCTGTGTGTGTGTGTGTGTGTGTGTGTGTGTGTGTGTATGAGCTCATCACATCATTGCAAGATGTGTAAGATTTTTCTGAAAATTCTTAATTCACTTCTGAAATAAGTTAAATGCATTTTGCTTAGTGGTTCAGGGACCAGAATGTTCATTACGGTCCTATGAGCACGCCTCTGTCCTCAAGTGTAAGCCTGGATCAGTTTACCCCACAAAGGCTGAGCCTGTTTCCCCTACATAGATGCGGACCCACTGAAGGGCTCGTTTTGAAAGCGCCATCTCTGCTTTGTATTCATCCTTTCTACAGCATCTTTCATTCATCCTATTAAAACTTGAACCTCAGTCTTCTGCATCTGAATAAAACCAGACCCTTTCCCATTTATCAGCTCCATGCAACTTAAGAGTCGTTCTCTTACATCTATACATTTGGTATTTTCAAGAGTCTTAGTAAATGTTGAGGTTTTCAGAGATTGAACAATGACTTGTCATATTTCCTAGAGAGGACCACATTCACTCATTTCTAAAATACTTAGATTAGCAGAGCTATTTCCTGTGAAGACCCAGAGTAACGTGGCAATATATTAAGCCTAGCAAATTTTAGGCTGATGAAGAGAATCCTTTTTTCTCTGTATGGTGCTCTGACCACTGAAGAACAAAGCTGAAGAAGTCAGTTCTGTTTAGTTTTATGAACGTCCCATGTCTTTACAATGGAAATCTTTCAATGGCATTTGCATTATGAAATTAATTCTGAGACTCAGTGGATACTAATGTAAAATTCAGACTTCCCCTCTACATAGATGTAACTTGCGAAGAGGGTGGTTTTATTATTTTCAGTAATAATCTTTTGTTCAGAAAAATCAGCTTAATCAGATAGTGTATTTTATATATTGACTGTTTTTTAATTCCACAAGACAACATGTTTTTTGTTCAAAATAATTTCAAATTCAACTTTGTTCATTTTAAATGTAGTGTACTAAATTTAGTTTCATATTGCCATAAAAACTCATTCTAGGAGCTTGTGGCAGAGGCTGAAGTCCAATTGCATTAAGAGAAGATGGATTTTAGAGAAAGATAAGAAGGATTATACTTTATATAGTTCTCCTCCTCATGTCCTTTATTCTGTTATGGAAAATAATTTTTTTTAAACCCCTACCTGCAACCATTCAAATCTTTGTGAAGGCAGGCATAAGAACCATGCCCTTCAAAAAACCTTGAAGTGTTTTGCTTTTCTTGGAGGAAGGGCAGGCAGTTTACTAAATAGAAGGAGGAAAATTTAATATAAAACATCTTTGCTCATAAGGGAGTTAAAAAATAAAGTATTTACAAGTAGTAACTGCATTGTAATGTTTTGGTAAGTTTTTAAAAAATAAAATTATAAGACTAGATGCTGAAAAATCTTGGAAATTTGAGATTTCCTTTTCCTCAAAAATTTTAGATTTTATTTTAGCGTATTCTAAAAAATTTTATAAACTTTAATTAAAAAGTTTTCTAGAAATCAAATATCATATGGAGTGTCCAATTTAAAGTCGCTATATTATTTCATCTCAGAAATTAGTTTTGACCTGTATGTGTTTTCCAACTGTGCTTTATGTCTCCTAATAAAAGGTATCTGCCTTATATTTTTTATACAGAAGCATTTTATTATTTCATATTTGTTATATTCATGGAGGAAAAGTCAGTGTTATACTTAGCATACTTACAGTTCAATTTTTGAAAAGGAATTCTTTAACAAAATGTTTTATTTTGTGGCTTTTGAAAGGTCTGCTAATGTGAAGTACTTTCAAGGTAGCATTTTATTTTAAATGTAGCTTTTTAGAAGTAACATTTATTTTTAGATAACTACTTAGAAAACCTGTTCTTCAACTACTTAACTTCAAGTAAAAGAAAAATTGAACATTAGGAAAAATTCACTCTGGAAAAAAATCTCACATTTGAGCTTCAAAAACATGCTGTGCTTATATTGTTTTTAGGTAGAAATACTAGGCACCAAGTAAAGTATTTTGTGGTAGGGGATGGAAAGAGAAGAAAAGAAAAACTGAATCATCATTAGAATATCTCCAATTTTGCAAGTGGTCTGGTTTTTCTAATGTGAAGACTTAAAACATTATGGAGTAGTTCTCCTTGGCTAGTAGCAAATTGTATTAGGGAAAGAGTAGAACCCCAGACCAAACCCATTGCCTTTAAGTCTGTTCTGACTCCTAGTGACCCTATAACAGAGTAGCAAGGCCCCCAGGGGTTTTCCAAGGCTAGATATCTTTACAGACGCAGACTGCCACATCTTTCTCCCAAAGAAGGTTAACAGAACAAGTGGAATTCACAGAAAAACATAGTTCTGTTTTGAAAAGTGTTTTAATAGGGCAAATGAAGCATAGGACAAACCACATTTTAAAAGCAAAGTCTCCAAGTTGAGTCATAAGTGTGACAAAGGGAGGAGCAGGGGAAAAGACAAAGATAAAATATCCCTAAGAAAGCCAAAGCTATTGTCAATTACATGTTAGAACTCAAGATTTTGCAGGTGAAAAAGAAGTTGCTTAAATAAAAACCTGTAGTACAATTTCCGATTATGCCATTTCAAGAGATTTAACTAGTTACTTCAAATATGACAAAGCAGAATTTTACCAAATATTAGAATAGTCTGGATAGCTATCAGATTAGCTGAAAGAGTGTGTGGGATAGCTCTCCCCATATTCATTGCAGATTCGCAGCTCCTCCTGCCCCAGTTCCCTCCAAGAGGTTAGCAACCTCGTTCCTCCGGTAGAGCCTAGCCAAGTCGCAGGCGGTGTCCCCTTTATGGTTCCGATGCCCCACATTGCTGGCAGTGTGCTTCACAAGGAACTCCACTACCGGGAGATGGCCTTCTTTGGCAGCCAAGTGTAAGGCCAGGTTCCCTTCATTATCCTCAATATTAACATCAGCTTGAAACTCCAGCAAAGTTTGTATTGTGTCCAGGAAACCTGCTCTGGCCGCATCATGAATGACAGCAAACCCAGTTTGGTCTTTCAAATTGGGATTAGCACCTCTAAGTAGTAGTCTCCTGGCAATCTCAGGATTTCCAAGTTTCATAACCTAGAAAAGATGTAAAAATGGTAGAATTCTTCAACTTCTTAAGCTTCAGTAAAATAAATTAATAAATAAATTTAAGTATCTAGCTGTCCTACTTTTATCTATTAATTCTTGCTGAAAGAAGACTTCAGTAAGACTCAGAGGATGGAATTTGAAGGGCTCAGTGGCAGGAAAGGAAGGACCAGTAGGTAAAAATAGAAGAAAACTCTTAAAAATTGAACTTTTGTTATAGAGTATCTTAAATGGTCCCAAAGTAGATTAAAACGGTCAAACAGAACAAGTGAAACTTAAAAATCAATTAGAGGACAATTCAGTCCTCTAACTCCCATGAAGAGTTGTGTTCATATATTTATCAACATTTTGTATTTAAAGGAAATAGAAGATCTCCTTCTGTTTGTGTGTTCATGTTTATAAATTGTGCCAGAGTCTTAATTTGGGCAGATAAAATATAAGTAAAATTTATTTTTTTTGTACAGCTATTTAAAAAATAAGCTTGGTGAATTTCTTCATTGTCAAGAAGAATTTCAATATACTTTCCATCATCTAGTATAAAAACTATCAATTGAAAAATCCAGATCTGATACCTTCTTAAATGATTGCTATGTATATCCCCTAAAATAGACACAGCCCCCAAATTCCAAGAGTTTATTTTTTAAAAACTCAACAACTTAACTCTATTATTTTTCCTTTGCAAATTATTTTAACCTGGCAAGGAAGTGTAGTCAGTACTTAAAATCTTCCATTTCAAATTACAAAGTGTAACTGATTATAAAGTTAATGAAAAGCAACAATGTTCTACATTGTTTATTATTTCAATTTATCTAAACCTATATTCATATGTTTTTTATTAGATAGGAGATGACTTTATAGTCATTGCTCTTGAAAACAATCAAAGCAATACTTTTATATTACTTATTTTTTCTCAAAATTCTAATTATCCTCTTGATTTTCAACTGAGCAAAAGAAGAGAAAAAAAAATTAAGATGTTCAATATGTATTTTGGAACACAGCTTTGTCTTGTGATTTGAACCCCTGTAATAATCAGCTGGTGATTCTGTTTTATTTCCTTTCACAGTTTTTAATAAAACATTAAGTAATAGCTTTCTGTAAACTAGCAACATTTAAAAAATCAGAATGTGAAATTATCATTTGCAATTAACTTTCAAATAATTCATATTACAAATATTTACTGAATTTTAAACATTTTCTTTCTAATAAGAAGTCTTTGCTAAGCCTTCATCACAATTCTAAAATAACTTATAGAACATAAGGCAAATATGAGATACATACAATTTAGTAGTGAAAAAAATAGAGACTCATTAATATGTCAGACATTTTTAGCTAATCCAAAGTTACAATACATAAGATGCATAGCAGACATGCAAATGTTTGTGAAATTAAATTTTAATCTATTAGAAAATACATATAGTTGATTCAGGTCTTTTAAAAATGTTTGTTTAAAAATAATCACAAAATAAATAAAATAGTATCATATACTAAGATGAATATTTTGTAAATGCAAAATATACAGGTAGTCAGGATATGGAGTTTCCCTGTGGATAAAACATTGCTGACTTTCAGCCCTTCCTTTGAGGTAGTAGTAAAAATGACACTATATATTTGTAAAGAACTTAAATGAAATAAAGTTTTTGGTTATTAAAAATGGGCACAATCTGTTTTGGACACAATTGTCTCATTCTTTGTGAGATTTCGTCTCATTTAATTACCTACGACGGAAAAAACAAGAATAGGCACCATGGATTTTTATAAAGCAAATGTATGATTAAGGCCTACTGAAAAAACTTGCACTAGGAAGGGAGGGATGCTCTTGTAATTGAGTTACATAAACATAACTGTAGGAGAATATTGACATATGCAATAGAAAATAATGGTGATATTGGAAACTGTTTTCAAAGTCTTTCTTGAGTTATGACACAATATTAGAATCAGATTAAACATACTGAAAATAAGACTCAGACTCCTGTTTGTATTTCTGTATGTTTCATTATATATAATAGAACTAAGCCACAATAAGTGGGTGTTAATATCATGATAAGTATGTTTAATATAAACAATATTGCAGAGTTATGTTTAAAATGCTTGTCAAAACTTTTTGCAGTGTTCATCTCTCAGCCTTCTTGATCGTCAGAAGCCCTGTAAGATCTTATTCTAAACATGGATAGATTCTCATTCTTTGTGAAGTTGATAGAATCTTTTGAGGTTTTTCAGTATGTTACTTTTCATTATATTAAATTTGTGATAGTGTTATCACCACCAAAATAGTTTAAAACTAGTAGGTGAAAAGAAAAAGCCAAATCCTTTCTCTAATTAATATACCTTTACTAATAATATAATTTGGTGTTCATGTGTAAGTTCCTTAACATTGTATTTTTTTAAAGGTTAGTATATTTTAAAATGTAGAGACTAGAAGGACTTCATCTGTTAATGATATCTTCCCTGCTACTTAAATTTAAAATTCTTGTCACTAAAACAAAGACCTTTAAAAACCCTATTCCTCACCAGTTTTAAAAACAGACTCCAGTGTTGCATTTCCAAATAAGACTAGTTCATAAGAACATCGTCAAAACGCAGATAAGAACCAACTATTTGAGACTACTTTGCCTTATTTATCCTTCTAAATATTTTAACCAGCTTACATGATAACATTCAGAGGAGGAAAAATATTAACAGGTACAATAATACTTGGCACTTGGACATGTTTCAATTGTTGCTTGCAAATCTAATTGCTAAAAATTAAAGCAGACCACTGACACGACCGCAAAGACAAAAGCCCTATAGCTGAGTTCTGATTAGAAAATTCTGCTTTTCCTCACTCCAGAATTGGTGGATGATATTATTACATTAACAGTGAAATGTACATCCTGTCCCTGTGCCCAGGCCACCTATTCCAAACGAAAAGGTTATTTGTGAAAACTTTAAATGTTTGGAAGGGAAAACACCTTCACCTTCAGTAGCAGTCAGTAAAACTAATGTTAAAGTCAATAATTGAGGCAGAGTACGTGAAACCACTAATAATAGTATATTTACTTAAAGTAATAATAATAATAATATGTTTACAGAGCTGTTTAGAAAACACACACATACACACACACACAAACTCAGCGCTGAATCCCCACCGTAAAAAAAAATTCCAAAAATTAAAACTAAACTTGGAATCCACTTGATATCGAGGATATTATTGTATTTGACGAGTTTGTCAAATACAAGTACGTCATTGTGGGGAGTTGGATCCATTTAAAGATATAAAATATGGCAACCAACTAGGTTAAAAACAGTGAAATTCTGTACCCCTACAAGCTTAAAAGTTGTCATTCTAGAAACCCCCGGTCACATAGGCAATATTTTTGACCTGTTTCCCCCACCTATCTGGATACCAACCTGCAGCGCAGTCCTTCCAAATCCATTTTGTGCATTGACGTTTACATTATTTTGCAACAAACTAGTAAGTTGCTCTAGGTCCCCCCTGGCAGCTGCGGACGCCAACTCGTTCCCCCAAGGCTCGGCCATTCTTTAGGGTCCTGACGATCGGGAAAAGATGAATTAGTTGTTTTCCTTTCTCTCCTTTCTTTTGCTCCTAACCAGGCTGCATGATGGCATCGGAGACTGACAGAAGGACTGGGATGGTTAATCTTCTGGAGTAGAGCTTGGTAGTAAATACTAGTAAGATCTGCCTGCCAAAAGCCCGCCCCTCGATTCACACGTGATTATTCAGCAAAACTGAGCCGTTGGAGAGGGGCTCCTCTCCTCGCTTTTTAGCTTAACCCCTACGAAGAATTCTGGTGATTCAACACAAACACACATTCCTTGTAAATTACTCTGGACGTAAGATGTAGGCAGAGCTGTCACGTACCTTCGCTACAGATCTCTATGAGGAATGTGTGCTGACTTAAGGGACTAGCCAGGGCAGAAAATACCGCGGAAGAAAAGACGCTTGAAAGGAGAGAAAGGAGAAGAAAAGGCAACAACCCACCCTAGTTCACGTTGGTGACTTGAGCAGCGTAAGCCAGGACTGCAGGGGTAGGTCCTCTCGGGGGCTTGGTCTCCATCCGTCGCGCGGAAGGGGTAGTCTTGAGTGCTCCGCTGCAGGGTGAGCGCCGCGATGCCTGGATGATGACGTGCTCCTGGGGGTTAAAAATGATCGCCAAAGGCAAACGGGGGGTAATAGTTCCGTGGCCCTCAAGTTACAGGTCGTAATCACTTCCCAGCGGTCTCGGCTTCACAGGAGGAGCCTTCAGATGCGTCCAGGCCCAGGCTCGGGCTAATGCCTCACTGGAAGGCTCTGGAACCCGCCTGCCGAGCTGCCGCAGCCCCGCCGAGCCTCAGAGGCCGTGGGAGCCGCGCTCGGCTACTTCTCCGCAGGCAGCCGGGCGCTCGTTGGGCCCCCGGCAAGCCCTTCATACCGGCTTCACCTGGTCCGAGGATTCTCAGCAGCCGGCGGCAGGAGGAGACTGATGCCAAGAAGCGTCTATGTGTCTGGAGCCACTTGGGCAGCTCCCGGCAGCATCGCGATTGCACCGGGCAACCCACCAGTAACTTCCCGCCTACGATCAAGCCAGCTCAGGCTTCCCACAGTAGGCACTCACGGAGTTGCAGACGCTACCTTTCTCTTTCCTTTCTTGTTTTGGGTTGGTTGGTTGGTTGGGGTTTTTTTTTTTTTTTTATCCTTCAGAGAGTAGAGGAGTCCTGAGTAACTCAGGCTAAACTCCAAGTATGAGTCTGAGTAGCCACAACTCCAGGTCGCAGCCAGTCCTGTAGCCCTTTTGGCGACAGAGCAGTCTTTTCGGCGTCCCGTGCCACTTCGCCAGCCTCTCGCGGTCTTCTGGCCTGTACCCCTAGCCTGTGCTGCCGACAGGGCAGCGGGCAGCAACAGCAGACAGCTGTGCCCTCGACCTGAGCAGGGCAGCACTGCTTTTTCTCGGGCAGAAGCGCTCCCAGTGACAGTTTCTTTTGTAGCTGGTCTCCCCTAAATTGCCAATCTTTAATTCCTTCACCCCTTAAGGCACTTGGGTTGGTTTCCCTTTCTGCTCTTTTTCTTGTCTCACTCTTTTGCTTCTTTTTTCGCTCAAACAATTGCTGCTTCTGTTACTGCAGAGACGGTGCCGGTTTCTTCTCCCTTTTTTTCCGACCTCATCAGCTTTTTTTGAAAAGAAAAAAAGTGAGCGCTTTTTGAGTTGAAAAACCCGCCCCCATTTTAACGGCAGAGTTTTAAGGAGGCTCCGCGGAGTTACAGCGCCGCGGGAGCAGGAGCGGGAAGGCCGGGCACCGCCCATGCTCCTCCCTCCGCCCTGGCGGCGCTCTAGATCGCGGGCTCGCTGGCTCCGCCCCCGGGGCTCCGCTCCCTTCCTCCAGCTCAGCTCCCTCGGTCTTTCGCGCTGCTTTGCTCCCGCCTGCTCGGCGGCCAGGCCCCAGCTCGATCGGCGTTCAGCACCGCCAAGCCGAGCTTGGCTTCCTCGGGCTGGCGGGCGGGCTGAAGTCAGACGCGAAATCTTTGGCTACCCCTAGTTCTTCTGGAGGAGTGGGGGCAGGGAGGAGGAGGTTTCCTAGGAAGGCTGTGGAGAACCGTGGGGTTTGGAGGCTCGGCAGGGCTGGCTCACAGAGAGTTTTTCTCCCGCCCAAGCAGAGCCAGCCTGCCAGCTCCGCGCTCCTCTTCTCAGGTTCGAGAATTTTGGACGGCCCAGGCCTAAGGCTGCTTGCCTGTCTTCTCAGGGGCGCTCGCTTTGCAAGCTCTGCCTTTTATGCCCCAGCTGGGCCTTAACCTAACACCTGCCAGATATTAACTCTGAGGGCTATCCTGGACAGTGATGGCTTTAGCAGGTGAAGGGGAGAATGACAGACCAGTGCACAGAGAAAACATATGAAAACTCAAGACAGGGTATAGGGCCTAAGTCTAAGAAATCATAACTACTCTAGATCCATAAAGTTTAGACTAGAAAGTGTGGACATGCTACTATTCCTGGGGGGGAAACTTTTTTAAATATGTAAACATTTTCTAATAAAGCAATTTTTTTGTTGTCAAGATTTTCTCTTTAGATGCGAACTTTGGGAGGAGGGATGGCAGGGGCTATCTAAAGGAGTCTTCAATCGCCATGCAAAGCAATCTGCTCTAGTTTAAACTTCCTTTTAGTTTTGAAATTAAGTACTATTTATTTTTTTTAAATGCAACACAGTTTGCATAATGCACCAGTGGTCAAAATGAAATTTAAAAAAATTACAAATGGTCTATATTGGGAATATTAGCAATTGAATACATCAAACACTTAGATAATCCTCTAGCCACAGATTGGTGAGTTTGTAGGGGAATAGTTAAAGCTGAGAAGAACCTAATTGTCATTCTCAGAATTTGAATTATGAATGAAGTAGGAATTGCAACAGATGTATTACTCTCTTACATATTTAGGCATTTCAAGTGGAACATTTAGAATTCTATTTATATAATTAATAATTTATTTTGGTAATTCTGATAATTTACTTTCATCTTTTAGTACAGCTAGAAGGAATGATAATAGCACTGTTGGCTGGTAAGAAATAATTGGCATTTGTCCAATTTATGAGAGTTGCTTTCTAGTATTTATTACGGCTTATTTAGAAACGATAGTGTAATGATGAAGAAACTAAATTTCATTCATGAAATATCGATATACATATTTTAAAATTTTTATGAAACAAAACACTTTACTGAACTGTGTAAATAATATTTACAGTAATTTACTACATAGGGAGCTGGAATATTTGGAAGTCCTAAACACTGGAAAGATTTTTATAACCCACTATCCCTACTGCTTTGGAAACACTAATAGCACCCACTTCCTAAACAACATGCCTCCAGAAACTCTTATGAACTTTGATAAATGTTGATAGTTATAAAAAGGCTTCAGGCCTTTTGTTCACAGGATCGCTATGAGTCATGCTCTACTCGAAGGCAATCAACAACATTCCTACCTTATATGTAAACATAAATATTCTGCAAATTTATATCTATTCAAACAAAGTTCTGATGTTTCCTATGATCACCACTTGAAAAGATTTGCTGAACTACTAAATTATGTAGGAAAGTTTTTACTTCTGGCTGTACTGGGATCTTAAAGTACATGCTCTCAATATGTCTACTGGGTAGATCAGAACTGGCAGCACAAGACTATATAGTCTTGCTTCAGAGGGCATAAATATATATTACAAAGGATCTCCTAGTACTTATTAAATCCTTATTAAGTGTTGGTTCACTGAAGTGTATTAAAAGGTGAGCATCTCTGTCTTAATAAATTTATATTCTAACATGATATGCAAGAATGATTAAGTTAAGTGCACTACTGTGTTGAAAGTGATGGCTTCTCTTTTAACTTGGTCTTGATAACGTTCCTCAGACATTAAAATACAGGTTTTATACCTGGATGTTAAGTACTAAGAGTCATAGAAACCTTTTCTCCCCACCAGTCTGGTATTATTTTAAAGGGCTTATGTTGTTGTGTTGTTATGTGCCTTCGAGTCGCCTGCGACTCATAGCGACCCTATATACAACAGTCTTAAACTCTGCTCTGTCCTGTGCCAATCACACTGTCTCCGATACACCCATTCGGGTTACCCCAGTCACTGAATCAATCCACCTCATAGAGGGCCTTCCCCTCCTGCGTTGTCCTTCCACCCTACCAAGCATGATGTCCCTCTCCAAGGACCAGTCCCTCCTTACAACATGTCCAAAGTATGTCAGACGAAGCCTCAGAATCCCTGCCTCCAAGGAGCCACCCGGTTTAACCCTCTCCTGGATGAATCTGTTTTCTTAGCAGTCCATGCTACACTCAATACTCTTCTCCAGCACCACAGCTCAAAGGCATCAATTCTCCTTCTATCCTCCTTAGTCACTGTCCAACTCTCTGATGCATAACAAGTGATAGCAAAGACCATGGCCTGTATCAGACACACCTCAGTCTCCAGAGACACACCATTGCTCTTTAGTACTTTGGAAAGGTCCCTTACAGCAGACTTTCCCATCACAATACATCTTTTAATTTCCTGGCCAAGAGTGTTGACTGTGGAGCCAAGCAAACTAAAGCTGTGAACAATATCAATCTCTTCACCATCCATCCTGATGCTGCCAATTGGTCCAGTGGTGGGAATCTTTGTCTTCTTGACATTGAGCCTCAATCCATACTGAAGGCTGCAGTAATTGACCCTATGCAGCAAGCACTTCAGGTCCTCCTCAGTTTTAGTAAGCAGGGTTGTGTCATCTGCATAATGCAGATTGTTGATAGATCTTCCACATTCTTGACCCCACATTTCTCCTCATAGAGCCCAGCCTCCCAGATAATCTGTTCTGCATACAGGTTGAAAAGATACGGAGACAGGACACATCCCTGGCATAGGTACTTCCCAATTTTGAACCATGCAGTGTTTCCTTGCTCTGTTCTGAGGACTACATCTTGGTCCAAGTAAAGGTTTCGCATTAACACGATCAAGTGTTCTGGCATTCTCATTCTTCTCAGAGTCAGCCACAGTTTGTTATGATCCACACAGTCAAATGCCTTTGTATAGTCAATGAAATACAGATATACAGTCCTCTGGTATTCCCTGCTTTCAGCGAAGATCCATCTAATATTAGCTACAATTTCCCTAGTACCACGACCCCTTCTAAACCCAGCCTGGACTTTTGGCAGTTCTCTGTTGATGTGCTGTTCTAGTAATTTTTGGATAATCTTCAGTAGAATCTTGCTTGCATGTGAAATCAATGATATTGTTCTATAGTTTCCACACTCTGCTGGGTCACCCTTCTTTGGGTCAGTTGGCCAAGTGGTTGTTCCCCAGATTTCTTGGCACAAATTGGTGAGCATGTCCAGGGCAGCATCTGTTAGTGGTTTGGGCTTATAGGAATATATTTATTTTGTATATTTTCCTCCTTCC